GGTTCACTTGGGGTCCGGAACAGGACGCGGCTCTTGCTTTAATACGAGAAGCTCTAACATCACCTCCGATACTAGCTTTACCAAATTTAGAATTGCCGTTCTGCATTCAATGTGGCGCCTCGAACACGGGTCTTGGAGAAGTACTGTCATAAACTTTTGAAGGTGTCGAAAAAGTAATAGCTTTCGCTTCTAGAACTCTTACCGCGCCCGAGCGTAACTACTCGGTTACAGAACGTGAGTGCTTCGCTATTCTATGAAGCGTCAACAAATTTAGACACTACATAGAAGGTACGAAATTTATGGTCATTACAGACCACAGCTCTTTAAAGTGGCTGCAAAGCCTAAAAGATCCGAAAGGTCGCCTCGCTATATGGGCCATGGAACTAGCTCAACACGACATGGAGATAGTACACCGAAAAGGTGCACTCCACCATGTGTCTGATGAACTATCAAGGATGTTTGGAGAGTCATCGATTGCCGCTCTTACAGATGATCCCGATCCCTGGTATACCAAACGTCTTTCGGATATACTTGTCTGTGCCGAAAAATTTCCAAACTGGAAAATAGAAGATGGCAAACTTTATAAACATATTCCTGACCCTAATTATTCAGACGTAATCAACAACCTGCAGGCATGGAAACTAGTACTGCCGCACATCTTATAACATAGAGCACTAGAGGACGCTCATAATACTCCGTCTGCTGGACACCTAGGTACCGAGAAAAGTTTCCGTCGCATCGCAACCAATTATAATTGGCCCGGGTACTATAAAAGGATACTGTTCGCTTTGTAAGGAAATGCCAAACTTACCAGGCGTGTAAAGTCGAGCAAAAGTCCCCCGTCGGCCTAATGGGGCATAGGATTGTAGAACAACCATGGACTGTTGTAGGTGTCGATAGTGTAGTGTAGGCCCTTTAACACGGTCCAAGGCTGGACATCGTTGTATGATAATATTCCAAGATAGGTACGGTAAATGGGATTTATTAAAACAATACGGAATTAAACATTCGACTAACTCCGTTTATCACCCTTCCCCAAATATAGTAGAAAGGGTACTTGCACTTTTGGTTAATAATTCAATTTTTATAAGGTTAATAACATTTTGACAATATAACTGTAAATTAGGCTCATTTTCAACAGATAAGTTCGTCATATATTTTACGCGATACAATTTTATGCTTTCATTTAAATAGTATATCAACTTGGGTAAAGACTTTAATCAAGACATATTTAATTCATACTCTTTTTGTAAAGCCCACATTTGAAGATTCAAATCATACACTGTTAACTTCCGATCTGAAGCATTTTTAAGTTATTGTAGAGTATATTCTGAAACTTTAAACAAATTATCTCTTCTTGTCCCGCCTGCCAAAATTTGCTGTTTCACACAAAAGTTCTCTACTTCTATCTTAGAAAATGATATAACTTAGGCTAAAACAAATATTGATAAAGCTAATACATTTATTAATCATTTACAAAACATATTCAGTCCATCATAACATAAAGTAACAAAAGAACAAGAACAAAATGTATTTAATAGCATGCAAAAAAACCAATATAAGTAATAATTAGCTAAATTAAGTAATAATAAGTCGTTTAATACGGTACGGTCACAATAATCGCATCCAAAGGCGACGGATGACCTGTTACCACTCTTGAGCCTCCGGCTTCCGTTAACTGGACAACTAAACTTCGTAATGCGTAAACGTAGTTTAGTGTTCTGTTTCTGAATTAAATACGTAAGATGATGTAATGACAATGTCATCAACAACTATTAAAGATTTTTGTTTGGATTTAATTTAAGTGAATACACTGCGTTCATGTAGATCTGTTTTTCTTGATAGCCTCTATCAAAATATAATAAAGCATAGTTGTTTCTTAGTTGTATCTTAGTTTTATAATCCTATAGCTCACTTTATTTTCACTTATTTAAGGTTCTACTAATATATTCTCACAGTAGAGAACCAAAATCGAATTTGTTCATTTCTCGATTTACAAGTGCTTTCATGTTTGTTTTCAGGTACGCACTAGTACCAGTACGCACCAGCACCAGATATACATGAAGCGGATTAGAGTGGCAGTTAGTCTCTCATCGAGGAATGAAACTTCTTTATTGGTGCTAAATAATTTATTTACTTAACTGACCGTTACAGTAGAGCCAAACTAATAGTTGCTGTGGGTGAATAGGAGCAAGCCTTTGTGTTCAAGGCTTGCAAGCTTAAGCCGCGACATAGAGAGAGAACGCACTAGATTGAAGCTGTACGATAGTGGCTTCTTATATAAATTCGCTGAATTAAACATGACAGTAAAATTAATTTTTTCTTGTAGCATTACAATGCTTATAAAGTCAAGAGTAACGCAGAATAATAATAATCGCATAATCACGTCTCGGTAAAAATAAGTAACACGGGACAGGCAAACATGGCCACAGCACAATTTTTGTATTGCCATTTTTTTTCTCTTGTTATTTTTTATTAATTATTATTAGATAAATGTGAGCTTAGTAATTATTTGCATCTCTAACATTATATTTATCTTTTGCAAAAATGTGCTTATATTCTATTAATTTATTAAATTAAATTTTTTTGTTAGTCTGATGATCCGTAAAGATTTTGTTTATTTTTTATTTTTAAACTAATTATTATTGCTTTGGGGAACGTAATGCCGGGCTACGCACACATACGAGGTGTGTTCAAAAAGTAAGGTGACTTTTCAAATTTCACGGGCAACGTACTTTCGATTATCGATTTTTTTATTTTGTTATGTTGGTACACTCTTCCCGAACAACTGTACCAAGTTTCAAGTGTATAGCATTGTTTGTTTGGTTGTGAGAGGCGTAAAGGTTATAAGTGTTTTGCGTGCTCGGCGATTACTTGCTATCGAAAAATATGGATCAAAGGATTTGCATCAAATTTTGTGTAAGAAATAAAATAAAGTGCTCCGAAACACTTGAAATGTTGACGGTGGCATACGGTGAAACTGTTCTGAGTAAAAAAAATGTTTACAAGTGGTACAAACTCTTCCAAGACGGTCGGAAAGATGCCAATGACGAGCCTCGCTCTGGACGCCCAAGCACGTCAACAACTGATGAAAACGTTCAAGCAGTGAAGAAAATTATAATCTATTTTATTTTCCTTCGAAATATTACTAATCTCATATACAAACAATGGTTAAGGAAAATCCCTCATGTAATTAAAACATTGTAAATGTTGTAAAAGAGATGCACTCTTGTCATTGAATTTTATTTGTGTGATTCGAATTGTTCGGGCATCTCCGTTTCGTGCTTGACTCTGATTGGTTGTTTAATTGCTTACTATATTGACATTTCTAGTATATAGACAGTTGTACCACTTTGAAATTCACAGTTCATTTTATATCTCTGACTTTTCGGTTTGTTTCTGAATAGTAAAAATATTTTATTAATTAACATTACTATGACTTAGGTTTTCTATAGTTGTGAGTACGAATGATTTTATTATTATTGTTAGATGTGTACTGTAGTGTTATGATCATGTCGAATTGTTTAAAAAAAGTTTTTAATAGTTCATAATTTTTTTTAATAAAGTTTTCCTGAAGAGGCCATGAATTTATAGCGAAACGTTGAAATTTCAAGAGTGTTGTTTTAATTACATGAGGGATTTTCCTTAACCATTGTTTGTATATGAGATTAGTGAAGAAAATTGTTCTGGAAAATCGTCGAATCACTATCAGAGAAGTTGCTGAGGATGTTGGTATATCGCTTGGCTCGTGCCATGAAGTTTTTTCGAACGTTTTGGGCATGAGACGTGTGTCAGCGAAGTTTGTTCCGAAATTGCTAAATTTTGACCAAAAGAACCGTCGCATGAGCATCGCTCAAGAACTGTTGAATGACGTCAACGACGACCCAGATTTACTCAAAAGGGTCATAACTGGTGATGAATCATGGGTATATGGTTATGATATCGAAACCAAAGTCCAATCGTCCCAATGGAAGAGCCCAGATGAGCCAAGACCGAAACAAGCACGCCAAGTTCGATCAAATGTCAAAGTTTTGCTCACTGTTTTCTTCGATTACCATGGCGTGGTGCATCAGGAGTTCTTACCATATGGACGAACGGTCAATAAACAGTATTATCTTGAAGTTATGTGCCGTTTGCGAGAAGCAATACGAAGCACAAACGCCCAGAATTGTGGTAATACAATTCATGGCTTTTACATCACGAAATGACCCTGCTCACTCATTTTGCTTGTGAGAGATTTTTTGGCCAAATCATGCCTCAGACACCATATTCACCGGATTTGGCCCCATGTAACTTTTTCTTGTTACCAAAACTAAAGAGACCTATGAAAGTACGGAGATTTGCAATGATTGAAGAGATAAAGACTGCATCGCTGGAAGAGCTCAAGGCTATATCGAAAAGTGCTTATGAGAAGTGCTTTGAGGATTGGAAAGACCGTTGGCATAAGTGTATTGTATCTGAGGGGGATTACTTTGAAGGGGACAACATAAATATTGATAAATAAATAAATATTTTTTCTTAAAAATACAAAGTCACCTTACTGTTTGAACACACCTCGTACTTATACAAACGCAACCGACAACAATGAAAACTCTGGAAAAAGCGAAGAATACCGGTACCAAGGCATGATGTGTACATACGAAAGTGGTATCGGTCATTTTGAGTCGTCTAAACAAGAGCAAGCGAGATAGAACTAGGATAAAAATATAGAAAAACATTGCGATTTGGATCAAAGTTGAAATTGCTGTTGGAAATCGACTATGTGTAATAAATTAACATACATGACTTATATTCAGGGTGAGTGATTTTAATCGATCCAACAAAATATCTAGGAAAGTTGGAGTTTTATCAAAAATGAGTTCAGACCGGTTGGTCGACGAGTATCTTAATAAATAACTAAAGTTCAAAACGAGATATGTAAATGTTTTTAACAAAATTGGTGAACATTTGAAATTATTACATTTAAAAATAATTAAAAAGGATGAATTATGTATACATACCTCTAGTTCTCTCTTCTCTTCTATGATATCGCAAATTGATTTATTGAGTTTTTCGATTTCAAAGTCTTGTTTTCGTATTAATTCTTTGTATTGAATCACCAAGATTGAATCTGATGGTGGTTCATCTTTTCGTCCTTCTGTTTGGCTTTTTGAATTAATGACTGATTTCAGAATATCCACTAGAAATTTTTTTCACAAATAAGATTTTAATGTCTTATTATAGTAATTTGTTACCTAATTTTAACAAAAAAAAATCAATTTTTTGATTGCAGACATATATAATATCAGAAAAAGGTTTCTTTCATGAGAAATCAACGTAATTAAACAGTTTTGAAGAAAAAATGTATATTTAATTTTATCATATTACAATTCTCGTATTAGATGACTTTGTAATTACATTAGTTGTTCTAATTTTGTAGAAAAATATTCTTACAGTTAAAAGTAAAGTGGTTCAATACTGTCGTAATAGATTTGAATTTAAATTAATATGACGCAATCTTGTGTGAACATAAGTGGTCACTGACAAAAGTCGAATTTCTACACAATAACATGTAATAATATGTAAGGTCAAAGGTTTTCAGCGATGATCATTCGGTTATCCATCCTAAACTTCTTTTTTCTTATTATAGTCCGGGAAAGTAAGGAAATAAAAGTTAAAAGTTTCCCATAATTGATATTTCATTTTTAAATGAAAATATATTGACCCAGTATTACTCTCCTAGATTGTCTAATAATTTCCGCTGGAGCTTGCGACGCAGCTTGCAAGCACAGCTCAGACCACCTAAAATTCAAGAGATTTATGCTCGTGTCATTTCTGGATATGTTCTTACAAAAAATCGTAGAGATGAAAATTGAAGCAAATCTTATGCTCTTGAAGGTGACGTAAATAGTTTTAAAAAAAAAAAATTTTCCGATCTTAAATTTTCCAAAAATTGAAAAAATTTTCGAAAATTATATTTTTGGCTGGTAAATATAAATAAAATATCGATATCGAGGTCAAAACATAGATAAACATAGAGGGCAAACTTCTAAAAATTTAAATTTTTTCAGATTTGGAAAATTCAAAATGGCGGTTGCGCAAATTGGAAACAAATATTTTTTTTTTCAATCGCGTCTAAATTTATGAACATTAACGATATTGAGAATCGGTTTATTGCAATCGGCAGAGTGAAAGTTTTTTTTTTTTTTTTTTTTTTTTTATTGAGGATTCTTAAGCCTTTTAGGTAGGCTTATTGGCCTTACATTGATTTATATAATCTTTTACATTAAGTATTTACATTTTTCCTTATGCTAAATTATATTGATAAATTACAATCATCGAAGAAGGTACATAAGAACTTGCAGGCTAATACATTTGGTGCTTTCAGAAGGTTGTCAATTGTCATTGGTAAATTGTGTTTTTTTAAGCTCTTTGTGAGTTTATCTCTTTGTTTCGGATATTTTGGACAATGCCATACAACATGGTCGAGATCTTCAGGTACAGCACATGAGCAGTTTGCTTTTTTGGTTATTCCCATGCGCGCTAGGGAGGCAGCTAGATTGTAGTGATTAGCTCTACATCGATTAATTGTTACAATTTGTCGCCGAGTTAGACTTTTTTTAATGAACCATGGTTTGTCGTTGTCACTGAAATAATTTTCAAAGTACTTGACTCCTTTAACTTTACCTGTATCTCTGACGCGTGTGATGGTCTCTACTTTCGCTGTTTTTTTATGTTTTTCACACAGGTCAGTGAATGGTAATAATATTTTATCGGTACAGTTTAGTTCAGTAGCTCGTTTTGCTGTTTCATCAGCTGTCTCATTGCCTACTAAGCCCTTGTGTGAAGGGATCCAATATAGTTTAAAGTTTAGTCTTGGGTTGGTTTCACGGAAAACGTTATACATTTTTTTTATTTCTAGGATGTGAGGGTTTGTTTTGGCAGTGAATTTAGTTGATTGTAAGTTTTCTAAGGCACTTAATGAATCAGTAAACACACAGAAGTTTTTTTGTGGGTGTTCAATAGCTAATTTAATTGATTGGAGGAGAGCAAAACTTTCAGCAGTAAAGATTGAGGCATTAGAATCAATTGATTTTTGGATTGTTATACCAAGTTCAGGGCATAAGCAGGCAACCCCTACGGAGGGAGAGTCAAGTACTTTGCTACCATCTGTAAATATGGCGTAAGCATTATTTTCAGTTACGATTCTCTCAATAATAGCATTTGGGTTTGTTGATTTGGGAATATTTTTCCCGATATTAGTATTTATATCAAGCATTGTGTAGATAGTTTTGTAGTTGTGTGAGTAATTATCATATAATCGCTCGTAATAAGAGTTAACAGGATAGATTTCTCTTATGCATGAGTTTAACAGTTTGATTCTTCCTTGCTTGTTTTGATTTTCTAATAATTGAAAATATTCATTTATGGTTTTAGATGTTTGCGAGTGACTTTTTGACATGGATTTTTGTACGAAGATTTTGCATAAGGATTTAGTACGTTCTTCTATTGATGTAATTTTTGATTCGGCAATAACAATGTTGGTGGGCGTGCTTATACGATATCCTAATGCAGCCCTTATAGCTGCGTATTGTATCTTTTCTAGCTCTTCTTTTGCTCTGACTTGTGTAGGAAAATATATAAAACTACCGTAGTCAATAATAGGGCGTACGAAGCTTTTGTACAGTACTAAGAGCGTTTCTGGATCGGCTCCCCACCAGGTACCTCGTAGAAATTTGATGATATTTATTGCTTTTAAACATTTCTTTTTAATTAGTGCTATATGTTGATTGAAGGAGAATTGATAGTCAAATGTAATTCCTAGGAATTTAACTGTTTCGCTAGATTTAATGGTATAATCATCAATAGTAATTTCTACGTTGCCTGGTTTAATTTTTTCGCTGTTAAAGTGAATAAGGACAGTTTTTGTGGGAGCTAGATCAAGACCTAATTGGTATAAATTACTTTTTATGGTGGTTATAGAATCTTCTAACAAGCTTTTACATTCCTCAATGTTTGATGCTTTAGCGTAAAGCGCTATATCATCCGCAAATTGTGAGACTGTTATACTTTTGGGCAGTTCTTTTGATATATTTCTTACATATAAAATATATAATAGTGGTGATAGCACGCCGCCCTGAGCTACTCCTTTGTCTGTCGCGCGAAAATCTTCTCCCAGGCTATCAGTGTAAATACGGCGTTGGAATATTATGAATTTAACGAATTGTATTAGTTTTAGCGAACAACCTATATCGGCAAGTTTTTGTAACAATATTTCACAAATTACGTTATCAAAGGCCCCGCTAACGTCTAAGAATGCAGCTAGTAAACTCTCGTGGTTTATTAAGGCTTCATTTATGTTAACGGATAAATTTGTTAAGTTGTCAATGCACGATTTGTCTTGTCTAAAGCCATTTTGTGACTCAGGAAGGATATTCGTGAACTCACACCACCACTGAAGTCTATTTTTTATTAAAGTTTCTAGGAGTTTCGACATACATGAGGTTAGCGCGATAGGTCTTATGTTTTCGCCATCAGATTTTTCAATAAAATGAACAAAAGAATTTTTCCACTGTTCAGGGTAAGTGTTTGACTTGTACATATCATTAAGAATATCTAACAGTAGTAAGTGGTATTTTATAGGAAGGTTTGTAATAATTTCGTAGTCGATTCCGTCCATTCCGGGTGCCGACTTCGTATTCTTTGAGCTTAAGGCAGAGTGAAAGTTATTATATATTTTTATAAATAACAAACAAAATTAAAAAAATTTTTTTTACAAAATTTTTTAAAACATTTACGGAAAATAAAAATTTTTCCATCTAGTTTTTTCTCATTTTGGCCTTGAAAAATTTGTTTAAAATATCTTTTCACGATATAAATTTGTTTGTCTTCGAAAGACGAGTATTTTGAAAAACAATTTATTTAGACGCGACTTTTACAAGCTGAGATAAACAAATTCAAAGTCTCTTAGATTCTGTGATAATATCGATTGAAATTTTCAAATTTTGATCACTTCGCTAGGTTTTCGAATCCCAACTCAACTTAAACACCAATTTTTATTTTTCTACAAAGTATTCTAAAATTATTTTCACCCTCAACATCTATGTTTAATAAATCTGAGTTTTCGACGTAGTTTTCGTTCATGAAGCACAACAAAATATCTTTGAAGTCCGATCTAATACGGCCGAATATTTCAGGTAAAATTACTTCTTCATTTTGCATCCATCCATTAAAATCTTCAGGCACTTGCAAGATAAAAATTAAAAAAAGGAACGTAACTGCGTATGATTGCATTGTTGAGCAAATTGAATAACTGAAGGACTTGCGGATTATCTTCAGTTACTGCTCATTCCGCTAAAACTACCCGAACGGCCAAATTTTGACCGTCAAGTCCAATAAGAGCGGGTAATGCAAAAAGCCAACGTACTTCTACAAAATGCAATATCTCCGCTATATTCTTTTTCAATCTAATTTGGTGTTGTTGGAGTGCATGCATTCTTTTTTGTAAACAAAACCAATTGTATACTTGTGTTAGCATGCCTATAATTACATCGAATGAAGTCATCATTGAATTCCTAGCACATAAATGAGCACTAAGGCATGGTCAAACAATGATTATAATCCCCAGAAACATATGAGGCAATCTACTGGCTACAGAGTTATGTACTCCATCATGGTATTAGACCCGTCAGAATCTGCTGCTACGTAATCAACTGGTTGAAGAATTGCTCTGTTTTCGACTTCTGCTAGCTCTTCATTGAAAACTGAATTTTCTATCAAATTATACAATGATCTGGTTGTTGCATCATCATGCTCATTATCTTCACAATAAATCGGGATCAACTCCCAAAGTACAGTTTCGATTTTATACGAAGAATAATTAGGAAACCTTATGAGTAAACAGCCTTGTCAATCTTTGCTTATGCCAGTGGACTTGTCGAATAACGTTGCAAATTTCGTATGCGAGAGTTTTTCTGCTAATTCCTGTTTAAAAATCAGAGCTATAATATTACTAATTATACTCGATACTTCTTTCCTATTTAATTAGACTTCCGGCAATACACCAAGATAACGCGCAATCCCCTTAATGAGAGCTAAAAGTGTGACAATCTTTTTATAGCTGACACCCTCACTGCAGAACCAGGTACAAAGTAATACTTTTATTGTGCCAACTTCATTTGTAAATTCTTCTAGATTAAG